GTTCAACCCTAACCCTAGAAGCCGCCGGAGCGTCCGACGGCCTTACGACATCAGGCACAATTTGCAGGCACGCTCAAACGCCAGCCAAAAGCGATGTTGCTTTCGTGAAACCAAGACCCACTACTAACGTAGCGGGAATATGTGCACACATGCATGACCATGAATATTTGGACACAATTCACCAGATGAAAACATGAAGATAATCGACAACGCCCTTTGCAAGGGAAGCACCTGAAGGCAATGTAAACTGAGGGGAGGGGAGAAGTATCGCAGGGTATGAGAGGAAAGGATAGCAGCCAAGGGGCGGAAACGGGAGTAGGGGTTTGCCTGGGCCGTGGTGGGTACGGACAGTACAGTAAACTACATTGCGCCCCGCTATCACACGGGCACTCAGTGCGTAATAAGCAGCAAGACCGTGCAACCAGCACGGTACGAGGGCAGCCATCCCACTAGGGAGATTGGAGCGAGGTATGTGACATCGAGCTCTCAGGCAGCTTGCCCGGTGCCGTAGAAGGAGTCGCCAGACTCTCTGTCGTAGGTGGTCCGCGCCATGATGGGACCGCCGGCGTTCGTTGCACCATAACCGCGGGTGACATTTGCCGGGTCAGCGAAAGGGTGAGCCGTCGCCGTGCTCATAACGTACGTCTGATCCTGATACTGCTGCTGTCCTGCGTATGGGTCCTGTTGACTATCGTAGCCCTGGTACTGTCCTTGGGTGTATGCAGCCTGGCCATCGTCGGCGAGAAGATCCTCGTGTGCTGACTGGTATTGCTGAGGGAGGTGATTGGAAGCAAAGCCTGCACCGACGCCGGCAAATTGCGTATTCGGGCGCGAGTCTGTCTCTCCACCACTGTATCCAGCAGCTTGAGGCGGGGGACCAAGCCACGAAGAGTAATTGCCCGCGTCACCATACTCATTCGCTGCGTGCGGGTTATACCCGCCGTTGTCCTTGGGCGGGCGTGGTGTGGCGCCATTATACGAATCGCCGTATCCCGTGTCATTGCCATAGTGGATATCACGAGGCGGGTACGCATTGGCAGGGGCAACTTGAGTGGTGTGGCCAGCATCAGGATCCGTGGTCGCGTCGTAGTCCGTACCAGCATGAGGAGCAGCGTCGTTGGTAGTTGGGTATTTCTCGAAGAACTCATCGTCCTCATACCGACGCTGATTCTGACGACGGCGATAGAACAGGAACCCGACGGCTGCTACGACAACGAGACCGACAGCGGTGAATGTACCAGCGACGGCTCCTTTGTTGGAAAAGAAGCTGGAGAACAGCGTTAGCATTGTTACAAGGAGTACAAGCGATGTATCCAGTCAATGTCAATAGACATGATGGCAAGTCTGACCGGAGAGGTAGACTGTCAAGTGCAAGCACAACCGCGTCGCACCTAACGGAGGGAAACGGCCGCGAGCAACCGGCTCGTCGACGTTTCCATATGATGAAAGTTCCTTACCCGTTGGAACTAGCTCCCTTAGCGGCGGCCGCTGCTACCACCGACTCCGTAGGAGCGGTCTCGGTACTGGTGCTACTCGCCGCGACTTGCAGTGTCGAGGTCACGGTCTTCACGCCACCCTGAGCCACTTGCGATGCAGTCGTCTTGGTCTGGGTTGTGCTGAGCGAATCGGCATCAGATATTGGACCTGATTAGAACATCGAATGGTAGCACGTACCTGACGACGGATGACGAGGTCGACGTGCTAGTGGTAGACGAGGCTGCCGAGGTAGAAGTAGTGGTGGTAGAGGTGGTGGTAGACGAGGTTTTAGACGCGGTGGATGAAGACGAAGTGGAGCTCGACGTGCTCGTGCTAGAGGAAGTCGCCGAGGTCGATGTCGACGAAGACGCGACGGTCGTCGAAGTTGGCGCAGCCGAAGAGGAGGTTTGACGGCTGGTTGAGACGGCAGTCGAGCTTGTTGCCGGAAGCGCCGTAGTTGAGGTAGACGCCGGATCGGCCGCAGCGGTTGAAGTACCCGAGCCGCTGGGTGGATTTCCGCCATCGTTAGCGCCGTCATCGGCATCATCATTGTTGTCCCCGCCGGTGCTCCCGCCAGCATTGTCTTGGCGGGCAGCGAGGAGAGCGTGGCGCTCAATCAGGCTGCGGCGGTGGAGGCCGGCATCCTGCTGTGGCTGGGAGATAGCGAGCGAGAGAGTTGCAAGACAGAGAATTGAAAAGACTGTGAGGATGCGGCCGCAGCGACGCATCGTTTGGAGACGCGACGGAGACCAGGCTGAGGGACACTAGAAAATAGAAGTTGGCGGGAAGGGAGAGAAACGAGAGTTGGCGCAGAGGGATGTAGAGAACAACGTCGGGACGAGTAGTAGCACGTGGATCAACATTTGACGGTACCTGCTCGGAGCGTCGCCTTACCAACATCCTTGTATCCGTGTTCCTAATCAATGGTGGCCAACTCACTACGGGCACAGCTGCTACAAGACATCGAGACGTCGCCCAAGCTCTACCTTATGAAGAGTAGGCCAGAGCCACAGCGCAACGGGCCCCCGAAGACGAGCCTTATGAAATTCCGCCACTATCTCCACCTCCGCGATAAGGAAGAGCGCAAAGCGTTTGTCCGGGTTCTCGCAAGCGAGCACCCATTCGCGCTCGAGAAGCTCCGCCACGGCCACACGCGAAACTACAAGATTTACAGTGTCGTGCCCCGCGACCGTCGCCTCTGCCGCCTATGCGCTGATGCAATAGAGTCGCCGGAACACGCGCTCTTGCTCTGCACTGGCGACGACAGGCTACGCGACATGCGGGCAATTTTCCTCGCGCAAGCGGCGGCCCGTCAGCCGGGTCTCCCGGACACGCGTGACGCCGCGCGCGCGACGGAGACACTGCAATCCTTGCTCTCCCTACCCAATATCGCTGGGGAACTGGCTAGGTACATATTGTTCGTCTTCGACCTGTTCGATAGCGTTGCCCTGGTCTGGCCACCAGATCTGATCACAAGGATACCCAGAACCGCGACTGCTGGACAGGATCGCGGTCGCGGGCGTGGTCGCGGTAGACGTCTCGTAGCAAATACCTGAATACAATGTGCACACTTTTCT